ATTGAAAACTCGGTCCTGTATTTGTAAATTTGCTGTCCACACTGGCATTGCACTCAAACCTAGCAGTGTGTTTGGTGGGAGGGTGGGGTGAAGGGGTGAAACAGATTTGGCCTGTTTAACTTAAGTCTCTTAACATGTCTCAGCTGGAAGACTAACTGTAGGAAACTGGGTTGTCCTGTTAGTGGTTTGAAAGCTGCTTAGCAATACCCAGTTTTCTTGAAAATGTCTTGTGTTTATTTTGTAGCATTTTCCCCTTGGAGATACTCGATCCCTTTTTGGCCAATGTATATCTACTGTACAACTTGAATTGTCTTCATTAGCTGACTGTTGCATTAAGTGTCTTACTACTTTCTGCATGGATTGATATATGAAAAGAACACTAAAGCAATGTGGGAGCTGGCAAGATGTTGGGTGTGAGCAGGATGCTTAATTTAATGTGAGAAAATAGATATGAGTTTGGAGTTAAAATGTGTTTTTACTAGACAAGAGCAATCATTTACCTTCCTTCAATGGAAATGTAAAAATGCTGTTAACTTCTGTTGCAAATTCTTACCTATACACTCTTCATGGCATTTTCACTGGCTTTGCCATCTAGTCATTGTAGTTTTGTTTTTGAGATCTTTCTAGATCTGTCTTGTTTTTGTTACGGAATTTATAATTTAATAAAACTACATTTTATCAGTAACAATCTTAGATATGTCTCCAGTTTAATTGAACTTCACTGGAGGAACTTTAAAGAAAACTATCATAAAACAGCTTCCTGTGTTTGCCAAAGGGGAGGACTGACTCTGAGTGGTATCCTGAAGTTCTTGCATCCCTGACTGTCTCTCGAACACAACAGTAGAGCAATATGTCTTTCTACTGAAAAATTATGTGTTGCAGGCTTAATGCTCACACAGGCTTGACACTCACTTCTCCTCTGAAGAGCTGATCAACTCGCATCCCTGTTATGACAAGCATAAGCATCACACACAGCCTTATTTTAACAGCAGAAATGTTGAAATAAAAGAGCATAAGTTATTAGACTTCACCCTATAACAAAGAACATGAATGTTAAGGACTATATTGCTGTTTACCTGTTCTTCATTGCAAAACTAGTGGCAGCAGAGAAAAGGTTGTTTTGTGCTTGTATTAGCAACCTAGGAGATGCATTTCTACAAACTGACTTAGAGTCTGTATTAGAGAAGGCTAGAAGCTAGATCTTGAAAACCACTGCTTGTCTTTTCTGTCTATGGCAGTTGTTTTACATTTTTTCAAATTGAGAAACAGCATTAGTTGATTCTGGACTCAATCTTTAAAATAAAGCTAATTAAACTCCAATTCTTAGTATATGTATCCCTGAATAGAAAGGGACAGTAGCTGATACATAGGTACTACGTATCTTCAGACAAAAATTGCTGTAGGCAAACAACCATTTGAAGGGAATTAAAAGGGCTGATTTTTAAAACCGGTAGATTTAAACTTCTAAAATGTTCTCCTTACTGTAATGATGGCTGATGTGTCTAATCTCGAGCAAAGCTGTCTCAGCCCTCCAGTTTGTTTTCTCTGCCCACAGGTGAATTCAGTGGGTCAGTGAACAAAGGAAAGTGCAGAGGAGACTAGGATGGAATAAGGAAGATTTCCTGCTTTCTCAGCTAGGAATGAATGCTCTTGATCACAGATTTTTACCATCATCTTCCAGTTCCATCAGGAAAAAGCATGGACTTCATAAGGAAACAGGATGGAATGTTTTTTCTTCTATTTGTTAGTTGCTAGCTGTCTTATTTCTCTGCTTTGAGTTAGCACACAGTGGCTGTACTCAGTCTGCAAAAACCTTCAGTAAGAACACTTCTGTCAAGTACATACATTTTACTTCATGTGAGGCTATGTACAGTGGAAGACAGCAAGAAGCAGAATAGAAGAACTTGACTCTATATATTCAATTTCAGGATTTTCAGCCTAAGCAGTTCACAAATAATTTTATCAGTGATAATCTTTGGGGGTTCTCGACTGAAGTAGAGAGGCAGAGCTCTGTTCAGCCAAACACCCATGATGCTGCTTTTGGCTCCTGCTGATGACTGCAGCTGTGGAGTACTAAAATTAGTTAAAGTAAGGCTGGTGAGAGCTTAATAGCCAATGATCAGGGTGGCAAATGCACTCCCCACTGCAAGCTAGGAAGAAGTAGTAACCAGGAGTTCCCATCTTATATTTAAACTATTACCTTCAGTAGGAGACATGTTCTTCATCAATTTTAGCTAAGCCACAGCCATACTGCATTATCTGTAACTCCATACATTAAGTGATTTTCAACTTGTACAGCACAGCTAGAGAAATGCACAGTGGAGCAGAATGGAAAGGAAATTAAAATACTATAACATCTACCACATTTCTTAATTTCCAAGAGAACAGAAAACCACAGATACAAGAATCCTGTACCACGGTAAAAAAAAAAAATCACAGCAAGCAAAGCATTCAGCAAGAATACCTACTTTACCTAGGTTGCCCATTTGGTAAGTATATTTCTGTCAGCAGAAAATATGATAAATTATCTATTTGCTAAAAGTGATCTCCAGTATCCAATGTTTAAACACTTGGTGCAGAATCCACACCTCCATTAAGCACTCGGGCTGTCCCAGTACACAGAGGCAAGCGAACATGACAGGCATTTCACAATGTAATAGGAAACCCAGTTTGCTGAGGAGGGAGTTGGCAAACTAGCCCCTAGGAAATAAAAAAGCTAGTATGCCATTTAATTAGAAGACTGGGAGTATCAATTTTGAGGTTTCTAAATTATTTTGTGCATTTAGTGCTTGTTTGGTTTTAGGCCATTTCTGAAGGGAACTGAGATGAAGCTTGTAGTCTTCAATACTTGTAAGAAAATATAAATGCTTATCAGCTGCTGGTTACAGGTATATGTTGCTTGAAGATTATAAGTATTCTATGAAATAAAGCAGTTACGTTTGAAATTGGTAAAATGGGATGCCATTTCATCTCACTCAGTGTGGAGCTCTCATGTAAGTGACTCATGGTAATTTAGTTAATCTGGTTTTCATACGAAGGGCTGTACTTGCTTTTAAAACAGAAACGAAGGCAGAGAATATGGTATTTAGGCTGCTCACCAAAGACTTGGTCAGAACAAACACCTGTAATTATCTTCAGAATGTCCTGTAACTATGTTTGGTATATTTGTGATTCCAACAGACCAGAGGACAATGAGTTTCTGTAACCTTTGCTGAAAGTTTCTTACTCAGTACTAGTTAATTGTATGTCCCGTTCTTAGAAGCAAACATTGGCCTTTGATACAAATCGGAGAGGATGGCTGGGGAAATGCATTTGCTGAAATAAGAAGTAAGCTCATTGTCTACAAATCAAAATGGAAAGAGGTCCCCAATAGATGTACATACTGAGTTTCACTTACTTGCAGCACAGGTCTAGTTTAAAACATGCAAGTAAAACAGATTCTGCTTTTCTGCTACAATTTAATCCCTTTCAAATTTATATTGTCCAGTGCACAGAATAGACTAATGAGCCTTAGAACCTGGAACCTGCAAAATTAAAAAAAAATAATTATTCAAGGGTCTTGCTCAGATTCTAAGCAGTTCTCACAACCATTTTAAAAACATAATTGCAGTATTAGTAATGGCAAATTTATTCTTAACCAGTTGCCCTTTAACACAAAATTTTTTTGACTCACAGCAATGTGATGTGCTATTGCTTCAAAAAGCTGGATAAGTATGGACTGGAGCATGCTCTGAAAGTTCAGTGATGTGGGCACATCCCTTTCTTCAGTATTTCTTTTGGTTGCTTCAGGCTATACACACTCCCTGCTGTGAAAGCCATATAGTAAAACATCCCCAACAAAGCACAGCATCTGCCCAAAAGCTGCAGAATCTTAACAGCCAATCCAAGCCCAAGTCCTATCATTGATCTGTCCCAAGATCCTCAAACATACGTACAGTTACCTTGCTGTCTAAAACTCAGGAATCCTGTCACACTGTAGAAATCGTAACATGGATTTCCATCCAAGGAATTGCCTCCTTTTCCTATAGGAGCTTGTTCGGTGTATCTAGAGTTAGTTACGCCTGGTCAGAGTGAGAATGCATGTCAGTAGTTTCTTCCTTAAGATGCTCCCCTGGAGTACCTGGGTGCTGGTCTCAGATGTCAGCCCCTGCTGGATTGAGAGACAAGTGCATCCTAACCAACAGTACAGGAAACCCTCAGTCATGGACATATCTGTGTGTATTTGCTCTCAGGTGTTTCATTTTAAGAATTATCTGCCAAAGCAGAGACTTGTGTCAGTTTCTAATTTCTAAAGGGAAAACCCTCCACACTGAGTTACATAATTACTTGCACAGTCACCGGCATGAAGTGGAAACGGAGTTCCAAATCTTCTCAATAGCCCAAATGTGCCTTACCATTAGAAACACTCTGAAGTAAGACATAGACAGATCCACACACAAGTCCTTTCAGAATGCTTAAGTACTCAAACCACCCAGTGAGTCACGGACATCCCATGTTGCAGCATGATACATCATGGCCTTCCAAGATTTCAACTAGATTCTATGTAAAGAATCAGGTCAGTGGCTTTGCGTGTGCTCAGCAGCACAGGTCCAGGCTATGGGAACATGCAGATGTGTGTATAGGCAGTTGGTTCCTCAAACAGTGAGAAGGTACCTAAATGCAAAGACCTGAATCAGTGTCAATGAATGAGGACTATAAGCTCTTCAGTGAGCTAGAGCTTCTCCTGTAAAAGTCACCGTTAAATCTGAAGCATCCTTGGATACTTTCTCAGCAATTATATAAAGAACTAACTGAAGATGAAAAAACACTATCATCTCACCAGTTACCATCCCTTCAAAACTGCTTAAAGACACTGGTCTCATGTTGGGGAACTCATATTTTGCAGCTTTAGATGCACCTGTTCTGCAAATAAATAAACCTCATACCTTTCAAGCAATTCTTTTCCATACCAGTTAGAAAAACAAAATTAACTCCAAAGAAAATAATCTTCAACCACATTGCAAAAGAATTACAGTTCTATTCTCAGCACAGTATTTACCTTTACATACTAATTTCACTAATCTCCATTCAGTGGGTGATTAGGACAGTAAAGAATCTGCCAGGGATTGCTCTGTGGTTGCACACCAAATATGTCGTTCATGTCAGGCAGACAGGAATGTTAATGCCAGTTTAAATGAACAAGTCCTTAAATGATCCAGTTTAATGTCAGCTTTAGTGAAAGCTGTGTTTGAAAAAACATCAAGAACATTTCGTATGCATTGACCATCATTTATGTTTTGGTCTTCTAACCAATGCCTGCAAATTGGCAGGCCCACCCCATACAGTTCCAAAAATGTCCTTCTCTGTCCTTAGGGCAGCTTCCACTGGTAGCTCTCTTCCTGCTGTCACCACCTCTTTCACAGCCCGAATCACGCTGGCTGGACCCTCTGTGTACTGACTCAGCCAGGCTCGGGCTTCTTCTAACGCTCCGGTTTCATCTGAAGATGACAGCGTCTCCTCCGAGAGCCCAAGGCGCAGAGCTGTCTCGGGGTCCAGCCTGGCAGCCCCGCTCAGCAGCCGCAGGGCAGCCCCACTGCCCACAATCCGCACCAGCCGGGCAGCTCCTCCCCAGCCCGGCACCAGCCCCATGTGCTTATGGACAAACCGAATTTCACTCCCAGGCGTCATCAACCTGTCAATAAAGAACAGACACGCAGAGGTCAATCCGTGCATCGACTTCTGTGTTCAGCTCGCCCACATGCAATTTTCTATTTTCTCCTCCCCTCTGCTTCCAAAGGCTGATACAACTTGACAGCATGCTGCTTACAGCCAGAGCTGGAGTGTCTTCATTTTCACGTTGCCTGGTGCCTTAAGCTGCAGCTTTTGGCCCTTCTCAAAATGAGATACATAGGCTGCCACAAGTAAAGATGCTTAGTGCGCACACTGATACCTGTAGCCAGAAGTCAGTTCTAAAAAGGGTTTGAAAACAGAATTGCAAAGACAGAGGGCACATTATACGTCTTCACAGTGCCAAAACCGCCTTGCTAATACATGCCTGAAACAACAGGGTTTGGGGTAAAACGCAAGCAAACTAATGCACAAGACATATTTCTTAAGAGGATGAATCATGATCTTAGTACTGATCTGTGCTGGGGAGGCTCTGTCAGCATTTCAGTGCTTAATTATAGCACAGTTGGGGTTTTTTTTTGTTCCATACTTTAGAGGGTCCATGTGAGTTTGATTTCTAACTGCTCACTACAGCAAGGGAAGTCAGGATGGATGCTTGACTTATGGCTCACAACGTATAATAGAACTGCTTTCTATTTATGCCTTACAGTGCCTAATAGAATTCCTCCCCTCCAGAAGGTAAAGTCACATTCCTCTTTTCAAAGATTTCACATCTTGGCTTCTTCCCTCCAGTCTGTCACCTCCCTTATTTAAGAACTCACCCTAGGGCTGATAAGCTATCTCCCCGGAGGAGCTCTGCTGCAGTGGATTGCACTCTCTCTGCATAATGTTCACACTGACATGCATTAGGTTAGTGGAAAAAGCCTCTAGAAATAGAAATATATAGAAAATACGTATAGAAGCAAACCTGTGCTTGCTGTTTGTTAAGGTGATGTTCTGCAGTGTGGTTGCTTGCTGCTGCTTATAAGACAAGGGATGTAAATTATTCTTGTGAAGTAGATTAGCTTCTACTTCAAGCAGTAATTGGCTTTCTAAAGATAAATCATGTAATACTAAGATCTACACACAAGTCTGTTTTCTAACCATACAGTTTTCCATAATAAAAAAACCGAGGTGATCAGCTTTAAAGGGGAAAGCAAAGAAACCTTTAAAAATGCAACTACTTCTAGGAACCCACAGTTCCCAAATCTGCTTAGTTATTGTTAATTGCAAGTTGCTTGGTTGCTTTTTTCTTAACTAGAGCACCATCAGCATTCATGACATGCTATAAAGCACCAGGGCTGAAGAGCTTACGCTTTATCCCGGACCCAACACAATGCACAAAGGCAACAGCTGACATGCCAGATTGCATGAAAGCCGTTTTGTAGAGATAGCGGAGGAAGGTTGTGTGACAAAAGGAAGAGAGTGGAGTACTGCAGGGGAGGAAAGGCTTTTAGCTAACATTAGCAAGTGCTTCCCAAACCCAGCAAGTCCCAGGGAGCTCAGGTCTCTCCTCTCCACAAGGAAGATTCTGCAAGTACTCCAGAACTCCTTCACTGGCTCAAGCTTACTTTGCAATTTGCTGACACCCCACATCCCACTGGGAAAGCGATAACGAAAACATTATTAAGGGTTTAATTCTAGCTGTGCTGAGTGATGTGAAGCATTAAAAAAGAACCAGTCATATGCAGCTAGGCATCTGATGCTAGACAAGCTGTAGGAAGTGTCAGAAGACAGCCACTGCAGGTTGGTGAGACAACGTTGTGTTTGTTGAATGTGAGACTGTCCCAGGCACCTGGCTTTGGGCCTTAAGGATGGGCATTTCAGGGAATGTACTGTGGGCAACTCATCTGGGAAGCTGAGTCAATGCACTCTGAAGTTTGCATGGGAAGTCAAAATTTACATTAGAAGCACAGCCAATCCATCAGCACCAAGAAAAATGTTGAAAACATTTAGTATGTGGGAAAGGCTTTGCTACCCTGCACAGTCTTCACCTGCCTCTGAGAAAATGGAACCAAACATGATGAAAGGAAAGTAAACAATTGACAGTTAAATCTACAGAGAGGCTGTAAGGCTGCGCCTTCCAAGATCTCACTGGGATTCACCTCTCCCTACAATGCTCCTTTGAACAAGCTCACAGAAAATACTGAGATAAGTGGTGGTCAGTGGAAGGTGTAAAGGTAGTCTTGGATTGCATTCAGGCTTAAGAAATGTTTTTTCAGCCTTTTCAATTATGAATCCTCTGCTGAAGTCACACCATTTCTTACAGAAACCACCCATCACACTCTATTAGGTACACCACTGACTTCAAGTCCCCATGCCCAAGGAAGCAACAGAAACCTGAGCTCAGATCTGAAGAGGTGCATGCCGCTGCCAAGTTAGCCTGGGACCAGCCGCTGCACAGCATCAGCTGCAGCCTCGCATAAATATTCCCCTTTTTATTTTTTTGAAAGGAATTGAGTCTACCTTCTGAGACGTGACAGATCTGATCTCCCATTAGATAAATTTATGTAAGGAAAGTACATCAAGCATTACTAAACACAAAGAGGCAGACATCAAAAAGCCGAAAAGACAGAAGTACCATTCTATTCCTGAGCTGTTTACACCTTATTCACCTAGTACTGGCCCTGCCTGAGACAGAATAGTAGAGGAATACAAAATGAACCCTGATTTGACTTAGTATGATTGTTCTTGTCTCCCAGGTCAAGAAAATTAAAATCTGGGTCTCCTGTACCCCAGGGGAAGGCCATACCAGTAGGATCCTGGACACATGCCTTCCCTGCTCTGAAGAAAATCTGTTACATGACAACACTGAAAAAATATTTATTAAATGTAATTAATGTAACAAAGTAACTGAAGACCTTACAAGCAGAGAAACATCCTTCAAAAATGTGAAGGGTAGCAAAATCCTCAGAACTTAAATGGAAGTAAGAGGTTAAGGTAATATAAGCATCAAAGTGCATCTGAAACCTTCTTTAGGAACATTATATTTCTATGTTACAAGCACTACAATACCCGTAGGAAGAAAGCACAGCCACCATGGGCCACATCCAATTTTGGGTTAGTCATCTAAAGCAAACAAGAGCTACAGCAAATGTTCCTGCTGTACATTTTAAAATGTTCTCAGACACGCTAAATGTTACAAACCCTCTACCTTTGATCGGAGGATTCCTTCACTCCGGACATATCATTGTGCCCACAAAATACTGACTGTCAAGTCACATCATGTCACTGTCAATGCATGTGAGAAGAAAACCTTGTTTGCCACCAACAACGCAGCCTAACAAATCTCATCCTTAAACAGGTACACTTGCTTCCTCAAAGGTGGCACTTGCTGTGAGCTAACAGCTATGCTTTCCTTTGCTAAAGTACTTCCCAGATACTTGGAAGCTGGAGCATATACAGTGAAAGCTGAAAATGCAAACAAAAATGTATTTTCTCAGTTTTTCATACCTGCTTTTTATAGTACTCCTTTTACTGAACCGTTCAACAGGTATAATCAGTTCCTTGGGCAGATCACGATTATATTAAGTTTTGTGCTGGCCCTTACCTCATCATTTCCTGGACTTCAGGGTTTGAATTCTATTCAGCATTCTGACAAGGCAAAGGCACTAATAAAGTTTACTAGGGAGGGACAAATACCATCCTCCATTTTATAAATTTTAAAAGCCCCTACCGTTATGCTTCTGAAACCCACGATGGAGAAAAAGGATGCCTAAAATGTTAAACGTCTTGTCAGCAACCTGGATTTTGTTCCCATCCCTGTTTGAGTCCCAGTGTCACGTAAGGACACAGCTCCTGACTTCCAATCTTCTCCTTCTAGCTGGTGTGAGACTGGCACACCACAGAGGGAGGCAGCTGGCATCATGCAGTGCTGCAGCACCTGGTTCTCAGCTATGGTTATACTGAGAGAGGGCAGTCTGAACTGCAGGAGATGACTTTTATCTTCCCCACAAATACTATGGCCTCCTGCTCTCAAACCACCAATCAACCTAAATAATAAGCAAAGCTTATGTCTTGGGTCATAGGAAGTTCCCTCACCAAATCTGCTAACTTCTATAAATTTCAGTAACACTAACTGCGAGGTGCCTGAACCCACACAAAGTGGAAAATTCTCCAAAATAAAAAAAGAGTCAAAGGCCTTGGGATAAAATTAAAAGACATCCATAGTTTTAACATCCTGTAGAGCAAGAGTTATAAAAATAGAGATAGTAAGAACATCTCGGATACAACTAGATGTTTTTGCAAAATGATGCATCCAGACACATGAAAAGCAATGGTCATGGTCAGCCACACATGCATTTTGGCCAACTGTCATTACTCAATGAAGACAGCAAGAATACAGTATTGATACCAAAGGGTTTTGACCAACCATCCAAACAACACACGCAACTATTTTAAGCACAGGAAAAGAGAGACATTAAAGGAAAAAGAAAACCACCAGGAAAATGGTAACAGACAGAAAGCTTTCAAGGGCCAAACATTTGTTTTAACCAGCAAACAGAAGACCAACTTGATGTATAATCCAGTCATACACTTTCCCCATATATGTATGTTTTTCTAATACACTCATCAATACCAGATCAGCTTAATGAACCTGTTAAATTAAGTAATAGCCGTGCCATGTGGCCAAACCAGCTTTTTCAAATAAAACACCTCTGGGGAGTGCAAGTTCAAGCATTTGTTAGAGGTCAGGCATGACATTATCTGGGGATGGTGTTTATCATGCAAATCGACCTTGTTCTGCCAGATGGGCAGGAAAATTTGATGATCTTGCTTGCAAGTGACAAAAGCTCAGGTGTAACTAGTTCAGGATTTTATAACTTTGCTTGGCAAGTGCTACCAGAACCAGCCAGTGCAGCAGCATCTCTCAAATGCATGCTGGACCTTAAGTGAGCAAGAAAGCCAGAGTCCATTGTCCACTTCTTCCCTGTTCTACTGCACCTTCTCAACACTCAAAATACAGTCCCTGTCCCATCACTTCACCTGCACATTGGGCTTCATAGTCTCACTCCATCTTCCATA